ATCCCGCCCCAGCGGACTGCATCCAGCGCCATCGGACTGCACCCCCCCCAGCGGACTGCACCCCCCCCAGCGGACTGCATCCAGCGCCAACGGAGTGTATCCAGCCCTAGCGGACTGCATCCAGCGCCATCGGACTGCAGCCCCCCCAGCGGACTGCATCCCCCCCAGCGGACGGCATCCAGCGCCATCGGACTGCATCCCCCCCCAGCGGACTGCATCCAGCCCCAGCGGACTGTATCCAGCGCCAGCGGGCTGCATCCCCCCCCTCCCCAGCGGACTGCACCCGCCCCCCAGCGGACTGCAACCCGCCCCAGCGGACGGCTTCCAGCGCCATCCGACCGCATCCCGCCTCAGCGCACCGCATCCAGCCCCATCCGACGGCTCCCGCACCGCGTCCCGCAGCGCACGCCAGCCCGAGGTTCGTCCGAGAAAGCGCAGCCGAGGCCCAGCATGCCGGGGAACACGAGCCGTCAAGGGCCATCCGGTGCCCAGAGCCACGTCGGCTCCCGCACTGCCCGAGCACAGTTGTCGTTCTCTGTGAGCTACGTGGAGCACCTCCTGCGGGAGGGCCACTACTCGAAGCGCCTGGGCGAGTCCGCACCGATCTTTCTAGCGGCCGTCATCGAGTTCCTGACGACCAAAGTCCTGGAGCTGGCGGGCGTCGAGGCCCGGAACAGAGGCAGGAGGCTCATCACCCCGGATCTCCTGGACATGGCGGTCCACAACCACACGCTGCTCAGCGACTTCTTCCAGTCCACGACCATCTCCCAGGTGGGCCCGCGCTAGAAGTAGCCGTGCAACGCGACCCGGGGCCCGGGCCCGGGCCCGCAGGCGCCAGGCCTGCTCACGGCCGGCCGGGGTGGCGTCGGCCTGCCCGGTGCCCCGGGCAGAGCCCCTGAGAGCCAGTGAAGTGTGCGGCGAAACCCGTGCGTGTGCCTCGGTGTCTGGTGCGTGGGACGGCCGGGGGCGGGGGGCTGGCTGCGGTGAGGCGGGGGGCCGGGGCCGGGGCCGAGCAGAGCGGCTTGTCCCGCGCATCGTGCAGGCGCCGGCCCTGGGTGGGAGAGGCGGGCTGGGGTGGGGGCTCTGACGGGAGGGGGGACGACGGACGCGGGCGCGGGGAGCCGGCGAGCGACAACCACGCAGAGCTGGAACGCGGGTGACGCGGGACGGCGAGCTGCGCGTCGGGCGGGGTCGGCGGGACACTGTGGCAGCCGCCTGGGGCCCCGCGGGCCCAAAGGCTGTCACCGGCGACCGTGGGCGCCTGGCCAGGCCCCGCCCCAGGACCCAGGGTTGGAAACGGGCACCCGCGCGGGGCGAGGCCTCTCAGCCGCGTGGGGTCGCTTGCGCGTCACCAGGGCGACGGGGCGCGCGCGCGCAGGGCACGTCGCCGCCGGGCGCCCGCACGTCCGGCGGTCTGCGTCGGCGCGCGGGCGGCGAACATGGCGGCGTCCGCGCCCGGCCTGGGCGGCGGAGCGGGCCCGGGGCCCGAGGCCGGGGACTTCCTGGCCCGGTACCGCCAGGTGTCGAACAAGCTGAAGAAGCGGTTCCTGCGGAAGCCGAACGTGGCGGAGGCGGGCGAGCAGTTCGGGCAGCTGGGCCGGGAGCTGCGCGCCCAGGAGTGCCTGCCCTACGCGGCCTGGTGCCAGCTGGCGGTGGCGCGCTGCCAGCAGGCGCTCTTCCACGGGCCCGGGGAGGCGCTGGCGCTCACCGAGGCCGCCCGCCTCTTCCTGCGGCAGGAGCGCGACGCGCGCCAGCGCCTCGCCTGCCCGGCCGCCTACGGGGAGCCGCTGCAGGCCGCCGCCCACGCCCTGGGCGCCGCCGTGCGCCTGCACCTCGAGCTGGGCCAGCCGGCCGCCGCCGCCGCCCTCTGCCTGGAGCTGGCCGCCGCCCTGCGCGACCTGGGCCAGCCGGCCGCCGCCGCCGGCCACTTCCAGCGCGCCGCCCACCTGCAGCTGCCGCAGCTGCCCCTGGCCGCGCTGCAGGCGCTCGGCGACGCCGCCTCCTGCCAGCTGCTGGCGCGCGACTACAACGGCGCCCTGACGGTCTTCACGCGCATGCAGCGCCTGGCGCGGGAGCACGGCAGCCACCCGGTGCGCCCGCCGCCGCCGCCGCCGCCGCCGCCCCCGCCGCCGCCGCCGCCGCCGCCGCCGCCGGGGCCGCAGGTCGGGCCCGGCGCGGCCCCAGCCCTGCCCGGCGCGCTGCTCCCTGCGAACGGCGGCCCTGCGCCCGCGCCCTGTCCCGCCACGCTGGGCGCCTTCTCGGACGTGCTGGTCCGCTGCGAGGTGTCCCGCGTGCTGCTGCTGCTGCTCCTGCAACCGCCGCCCGCCAAGCTCCTGCCCGAGCACGCCCACACCCTGGAGAAGTACTCGTGGGAGGCCTTCGACGGCCACGGGCAGGACAGCGGCGGCCAGCTTCCCGACGAGCTGTTCCTGCTGCTCCAGTCCTTGGTCATGGCCACCCACGAAAAGGACACGGAAGCCGTCAAGTCGCTGCAGGTGGAGATGTGGCCACTGTTGAGTGCCGAGCAGAACCACCTGCTTCACCTGGTTCTGCAGGAAACCGTCTCCCCCTCGGGACAGGGCATCTGAGGACTCCCGTGAACGAAGGGACTCTGCCTGGTACCAAGCCTCGCGCGTCTCCCTTGGCGTTGGGGGCAAATACCGGACGGGCATCCCGGCACGGTTCTGCCTTGCTTCCTCTTGTTCCTCTGGCCGCCGTGGCCACGCAGGGCGCTGGCAGTTCCGTGGGTCCCGAAGACTTGTTTCCATCACAGAGGGCGGGAAAAACAACCAGGACAGCGTGATCGCATTGGAACGGGACACAGGCCTCTCCTCCCCAAGGCTGCGGCGTAAACATGAGAACCCCCTTGGGGTGCCTGGGTGGTTCTGTCGGGAGTCTGACGGCAGCTCTGGTCATGATCTCCGCGTTAGTGAGTTTGAACGCTTCCCCCGCCCCGGGGTGGGGGTGGGGGTGGGGGGTCCCGCGCTGACAGCCGGGAGCCTGCTGGGGATTCTCTGTCCTCTCCCCCCTCGCACCCGTGCTCGCTCGCTCGCTCTCAGTATAAGTAAAGGGAACCCCGTATACCTTCTTGCACCCAACTCGCCCTGCAGATTTGTTGCGGAGGATTTCATTTTGCACAGTTCCGCCTAAATACTTAAGCTATGGGGTTTTTTTAAATCATGATCTCACCTCTTCGCGCCTATCAGTGCGCGCGTGGGATCGCCCAAGTTGTTTCATCCTTCCCATACGTCTTCCTGGGGATCATTTGATTCGTACATCGTTGTTGCTCCAGCCCTGAATCCATAATAAAGCCGTTCTGATGCTCCTAACCTGTGGTGTGGCTTTACTTCGTCCATAATGTGGGAACAGCTTCTCTACGAAGCAGGAAGTAGAAAAACAGAGAGTTCTGGTTCCGGTCCGTGATGTATCCTCGCATTTGAAATGGACAGCGTGCCGAGGATTCATGCAGGCTGTGCCCCGCAGAGGCCATTTGCCATGTGGCCCTTACTCAAGAGAGCTGCCACGCAAACGTGTCGGGTGCAAGGTTGGGGGGTGGGGGCGGGAACGCTGTAATGCCAGCGGGTCACAAGTGCGTTGCAACTCACAGCTCCGCTGTCAGGTTCTGTTCTCAGGGGTATGCCTAATGCGTGTGAGATCCTGTATTTGTGGCGGGGACCTTTCTGTAACTCTTCCCTCCAACGTGTAGAGTCAGCATGGTTCTTTGGTATTGGGTGGTCACCTACGTGAGAGACGGGGTCTTTGTTGCCCGGGAGCAGGGCGGCATCCCGTTTCAAAATGCTACATTTCCAAAGCTTTTTGGTCCAAACGTTCCATGGAGACATTGCAGTCTGGGGGTTAATTCAGTTTTATTTTCTTTACAGGGTTGAGAGTGGTAACAGAACTCTTCAGAATATGATCTCAATCGTTCAGCTTTGGGACAGTGCACCCTTTAAGCTGAAGTTGTATACGGTACTAACGTCTTGGAGTGAGACGGAAGGACACGGTTTGGTGGCAGATTTGCCTTATTTTGGGTGCATCGCCGGGGGCGGGGGGGGGGGGCACGTACGGGTCGTCACCGTGAGTGAAGTGCGTCGGAAGGGGTGGGACTGGTAGCGTAGTCTTTCCCACTTGTGTTTCAACAGAATGTGGAAGCAATAGGTGAGGACACGGGGGACAGGCCCACCCGAGACGGGCTCGGCCAGCATTCCTGCGCCCGCGCTTGTCTGCCAGGAAGGGCCTTTCGGAGCCCTGGAAACCCCATCTGATTTTTTGCAAAAGGGCTCAGGGTGTCAGACACAGGAAAAGATGCCTGAAGTTGCTCGTCATCAGGGAAATGCAAGTTACAACCACAGTGAAATAGCCCCTCACACCTGTCAGAATGGCTAAAATACAAAACACGAGAAACAACGTGCTGGCGAGGATGTAGAGAAAAAGGAAGCCTCTTGCGCTGTTGCTGGGAATACAAACGGGTGCGGCCGCTCTGGAAAACAGTGTGGAGGCTCCCCGAAAAGTTAAAAATAGAACTACCCTACAACCCAGCAGTTGTGCTACTGGGTATTTACACAAAGAAAATGAAAGCACTAATTCAAAAAGACACATGCGCCCCTATGTTTATTGCGGCATTATTTACAATGGTCGAAATGTGGAAGCGAGCCAAGCGGCCATCCATAGACGAATGGATAAAGAAGACCTACGTATAGAAACACACGGTGGACTATTACTCGGCCATAAAAAGGAATGACGTCTTGCCGCTTCCAACAACGTGGATGCATCTAGAAGGTATAATGCTATGTGAAATGAGCCAGTCAGAGAAAGACAAATACTGTATGATTTCACTCATGGAACTGAAGAAACAAAAGATCGAGGAAGAAAGAGACAGACCAAAAAAACATACTCTTAAATACAGAGAACGTACCGGTAGTTCCCAGAGGGGAGGTGGGAGGGGATGGGTGAAATGGGTGAAGGGCATTAAGGAGTGAACATGTGGTGATGAACCCTGAGTAATGTACACAATCGCCGAGTCGCTATATTGCACACCGGAAACTAACCCTGCCTACTCATTATACTGGCATTTACAAAGAAAGCGGTTAGGGCGCATGCTCCCTCCTGCTTTTGCTTTTCCTGGTGCTTTCCTGTCCACCTGCGCTACGGGCCCGGCTGGCTGCCTTACTGTCTTAGACCAAGAGTGTTTAGGAGTTATGGAATGTGGCTGATGATAGTATTTGGGTTGGGGCTTCAGGAAAAGCCTCCTTAGGCCTCTGGTCTAACTCCTTGCACTGAGGAAGTGGCGGGAGGGGTTACCAGAGAGCCTGTGATGAGAATACAAGTATAACTTTAGGAAACATGAAGGTTGTTTTTCCTTTGCCGTTGGCTCATTTATATATCTCCCCCGAAAACTTCATAGCACAGATAGCTGGGCCAAAGCCAGATTTCAGCGATTTTGACAGACTTTGACAAATCACTTGGTAATTATCAACTTAATGTCAAAATAACACTGCTTTCTAACATGACCAAAAATAAATATTTTTAAAAGACATGAGTAGTCAGTCTTCTTTTTTTAACTTGAAAGGCAGAGGGAAAGAGCCACATCACGGAAATGCTCACTGATAATTCAAAATTAACATTTAAATTACTATAAACCATTGAAAATATAGGTGCCTACATGGCTCCGTCCGTTTAGTGTTGTACTTCAGCTCAGGTCATGACCTCACAGTTTGTGAATTTGGGTTCTGCTGTCAGCACAGAGACCACTTTGGATCCTCGGTCTCTCTCTCTCTCTGCTTCTCCCCCATCTCTCTTGCAAAAATAAACACGAAGAAATATTAAGAAACTACTGAAAATATTGCAGCGAAGCAGTGATCCCTAAAGGGTGTTGCAGTTCCCTTTCCCCCCTTCACTTCTATGATGAGAAATCTCAATGCTGAAAATGTGAATGATGTATGTGAATGGCACAGATAGAAAACCCCTTGAGAACCACGCCGCTGGAAGGCAGTGACTAGGAGTGAAATCTGTAGGTGAGACAAGCTGTGGGATGGAAGGGCCTGCTTTGCGTTTACACTCGAGGCCTCTCTGCTACCATCAGACTAGCCCTGCAGTCTGCATCCTTTTTCTGTAAAGGCCCAGATGGAAACATTTTAGTCTTTTCAGGCCACAAATTGTCTCTGTCCCATAGTGTTTGTTTTTGCAACTTTAAACATGTAAAAACCATTCTTAACTCACACTCCGTACAAAACAGTCCGAATCCAGGACGGGCCCTCGCTTACCCGTCCCTTTCCTAGAACCTAGAGCAAGTCGTTGCTCAGTAACTGTTGGGTAAATGAATGACCTTCATGAGAGTACTATTATATCCTTATATATAAGAGAGAGAGCATAAGCTGAGGAGGGGCAGAGAGATGAGAGAGAATCCCAAGCACACTCCATGATGTCAGCATGGAGCCTGACATGGGGCTCAATCCCATGAACCATGAGATCGTGACCTGAGCTGAAATCAAAGAGTTGCTGAGCTTAAGCGACTGAGCCACCCGGGCACCTAAGTCTGTGTTTGATTTTAAGACCAAGAGTTGATTCTCTGAAAATCAAATAGAATAGACCAACATTCGCCCTCTCTGATAAAGGAGAAAAAGAGATTTGTGCATGTAGATATGGCCTCTGACAGAGGCAGGGACACAGAACTCTATACACTCACAGAAATGAAGTACAGGTAATAGAAAATGAGAATATCCATGTTCAGACAAGGAATGGAAAAGATAGCCAAGCCACTAAATAAGGCACAAAGCTCTAGTGGCATGTCCATGTAACTCATTAAACACATGATTACTACATTAATTAAACTATTCTAGATCAATAGTTTTAATGGAAAAAGATGAAAGCTTTTCTACATTATTTTCAAGTTCAATATAACTCTCATGCCAAAACCTGGTAAATAGAGCCCTTGAAAAAGGTAAACCAGTTTTATTGATTAGTATAGATAGAAAAATTCTAAATGGGGCACCTGGGTGGCTCAGTTGGTTAAAGCAACTGTCTCTTGATATTGGCTCTGGCTGCGATCTTGCAGGCATGGGAACCAGGCCGGCCGGTTGCACACTAGGCGTGGAGCCTGCTCGAGATTCTCTCTCTCCCTCTCTCTCTCTCTCTGCCCTTACCTGCTTGTGTGCACACTCTCTCTCTCAAAATAAACAAACATTTTTTTAAAAGTATGTGTTTGAAACAGGGAACATTATATTAAAGAGTGAAATATGGGATCCATTCACAGTAAAGTCAAGAAAAGGGAGGCTTATTTGTTTCACATATATGTCCATAGATGCGTCTCTGCATGTGTTTATGTGTATTAATCACAAAAGCGTTTGGGGTGATTGCAATTTCTGTTTACCAGGCCCTGCCAGCATAATGTCATCAATGTAATGGGCCAGCGTGGCGCCCTGCGGGGTGTCAACATGTATGGTAACAAAGAACAAGGGAGCTGGCATTGCCCTGACACGTGAACAGTAAAGTCAATACTCCTGTTCCTACGTTATAAAAGCAAATCTATTCTGAGTTTGCTTATCAGTGGGAATGAAGGAAAAAATATGCTCCAGGTCAATGTCAGGTACCTGGGGATGTGTTAATTTCCTCTGGAGAAGATGCCACATCTGGGATTGCAAACTTTTTGTCATTACCATCTAACTAAAGTTGCAGTGGTCTGTCATTTCCCCATGACTCATCTGACTTCTGTAGTGGCCAAAAAGGGGCCCTAAGGATACAAGACAGTGGCTTACGAGGCGACTATTCCAGGTGTAGTCACCGGAAGACAGAAGACGCTTATGCAGAGAAAAGATGGCTGCCTCAGAGGTCCGGGAAAGGTTGTCCCCTCAGGCAAGGAGATTCAGGGGCATTTGGATGTTGGCGGTTCTCAGCCTCATCCATGTCTGTGTAAATGTACCCACCCAGGTCTCAGAGCTCACCTTTGTCCCACCGGTGCCCTTACCTTAGCGTAAGAGCCCTGGTGGGGTTGACCATTCCGTGGCAAGTCTGCAAGTCATACGCTCAGCCCTTAGGCTTGTTCTTAAGTCTGCGTATCTGTCTACAACCATAGGATGTGGAAGTGGCCTCCAGAGTTCTGTGGATGTGTCCTGATTCTGCGAGCATGTCCACGGGTGTTCTTCCTTGCGTATATTGATAACATTTAACATTTAATTTATCTTCCCCTATGTATGCCATAAAAGGAAGGGCTGTGAAAGGCAGGCAGGCCATTCTACAAGCAGGCGGTGCTACAGTTCTTGCCATAGTGACGGCATGCCCCTGTCCATTCAACCTCCCAGTGTCTTTCCCACCATCCGTAGCTCAGCCCATAGTGCCACTGGTGATAACCTGAGAAACCGTGATGCCACCACACGTCATGGGGTACCCAACACCCAGTCTGCTCCCTGAGCAAGGAAATCACACCCATATTCCTGGAGGACCTTAACAACACAATCCTAGAATTCTATTTTGAGGGTCTGTTTCTTGGGGCTACTTGTGGCATTAATTACTGCATAGGACAGGGTTTGAACAAGAAACAAGGAATACTTGGATTACGGAAATTTGAGAGAAGTTTAATAAACACACTGGGTCAGCAGGTGGGGGCAAGGAGTTGCCATCCTCAGGCCTAGAGGAACGAGGAGCGGGAGCAGAGTCTTAAGGGAGAAAACTAGGTAGATTCTTCCAGTGCTTTACAGAAACGACCACAAGTTGCTTACATTCCTCTCACTGAGCAGTGGGATCTATGTCTCTTCCCCTTGAATCTGGGTGGGACGTGTGACTTGCTGATAGCCAACCACCTCGAGACTGTCATGCTGTGAGAAGCCCAGGCCTCATGCAAAGGCCATACAGAGTTACTTCACTCAGCAGCCCCAATGATCACATGTGCAAGTGAAAATGCTTCCAGATGATTCCAGCCCCCAGCTGTCAAATCTTCCCAGCTGAGGCCCCAGATATTGTGGAGTCCGGGCAGCCACCCCTCCTGTACCCTGCTAAAAGTCCAGACCCATAGAATCTGTGAACAAATGGTTTTTTGTATCATTAAGTTTTGGGGTGGTTGCCACTCAGTGATCGTGACCAGCCAGGGAGAGAAGAAGGCCACTGTGATGGGAGCAGTGACCTTCAGTGGAGAAATAGAGCCAAGTCCTCTAAAAGGAGGGTACCGGGATATATATCCTTTATACATAGGGTTTTTTTTTTTAATTAAGTAAACTGTGCACCCACCATGGGGCTCAAACTCACAACCTCAAGATCAAGAGCCACATGCTCTAACAACCGAGCCAGCCAGGCGCCCTGAGAATATATGTCCTGATCTGACTCTCCTTCCTTTGATCTCTTGCCAGTGCTCCCAAAAGCTAGAGGATGAGGTAGCCTGTTGATGTATCCCATACAGGTCAGGCTCACAGAACAAGAAGTGGGGTAGAGAAGTAGGAAAACAGATCTAAAGGGGAAAACAGGAGTTATCCTGCACAGGGCCATTTGAGGACTTTGAACTGCATTCTGAAGACAAGAGAGAAACACTGAAAGGTTTTAGGCAGGGAGCATGACAAAATGATTGTCTCAACAATGATGTGCAGCTTTTATTAGAGAAGAGACTAGAAACCGGAGAAGACTAGCTAAGGATGTCCCACAGTAGATGAAGGGTGCGGGGGCGGGCGGCAGGCTATGGTAAGAGCGGTATGTAGCACTGAAGGCGTGGGGGGCGGTGACAAAGAGAGAATGGCTGCATTTGCGGATGATTCATCGGGGGATGTGAAGACAAGGGTCTTGTGATCACTTCCCAAGGCTTCCCCGTCCCTTTATGTGGAAGACACAGATCTTCACCTCCATTAGCGTGCTGCCCCCATAAACTCAAGGCTTCGAGCTACTGCCTGCTGGATATTCCAGCCCGCGGCCCTCCTCCCTCCTCACACTTAGAATAGCCACAAGCAAAGGCATAAAGTCATCAATCCACCCAGTCCTGAATCACAGATCGCTGTCAACAGAGCATCTCTCTTCCTTTCTATTATCTAGATCTTTGATGCCGATACGTTTTTATCCAGACGTCTACAATCACTCCTATTGCCCGAAAGTGGAAAAATCTTTTTTGGAGTTAAGTTTGGAGAAGCCAGGAGTGTTTGTCCCATAGCTGAAATCTGTCAAAAGCTCTTTAAAAGACTCATGCCTTCTCTTAAACGAACTAATTACATACCGTTAAGGTCCCAGTGGAATTCCCTCGATAACTCTGCCACTTCTTTCCATCAAGACTATACATGATGATAAACTGGGAGACGTAGAGGCTGGACAACTTCTGACGGGCCCCCTGGGTCATGATGCTGTGAATGATCATGGGTGCCAACAGATCCACCTGCCAGTGAAAACAACACTGTATTTTAAATGTATGTAGCACCTTCTGAAATTCATTACTGGCTTAAGAAGCATCTACATCAACACAGATCTGCCCAGCAACCCGTTGGACGTGCAGTGAGATAGGCGGCAATGATGCAGTGTGGGTGTGTGGGGAGCAGGGAGATAAACAACGGGATCTAGGAGGGAAGTGCGCAACAGTCTACTTCCCGACAAATCAGACCGCTTCCAAATCGGCGAGCCCCCCTTCCCGTACACCCACCCTTTGTGCCGCACTTACGCACCCACAGAACCCAGTGCTTTGCCTCAGCCTCAGCCTCGTCTAAGCCGATTTCCTCCTGTCTCCCCAGACCAGTCTCCATCCCAACATCCCTCTCACTGATAGACTACTGTCCCTCTTTCAAGTGTCACCTCAGAAACAATGTCTCCTGGTTAGCCTTCCCTGACTCGCCCAGACGTATTTAGTACTCCCTTATCTATACTTCTATTTAACTTTGTATATAAAACTTCACAAGAGCATATATATATATGTATATATATGCGTAGTATATTGCATTATTTCTTTGCTTACATGCCTTCACCATTAGACTGCGATCCTTAAGGCAGTGAACCCGTTTCAGTCACCTAACCTCTCTGTGTCACAACTTCTTTATACGTAGAGTAGAAATAATAATGGTGTTTATTGCAAAGGTTTACCAGAGGATTAAGTGGTTAATACATGTGATGTGCTGAGTTCAGTGCCTGGCACATAACAAACACTTAATATATGGTAGGTTTTATTTTTATGTTTTTAAGTTTATTTATTTATTTTGAGGGGGGGGTGTGGCAGGGAGAGAGGAGAGAGAATCCTAAGCAGGCTCCATGCTGACAGACGCAGGGCTCAATCCCATGAACCATGAGATCATGACCTGAGCTGAAATCAAGAATCAGAAGCTGAGGGGCACCTGGGTGGCTCAGTTGGTTGACCATCCGACTTCGGCTCACGTCATGATCTCATGGTTTGTGAGTTCGAGCCCTGCATCAGGCTCACTGCTGTTGGAGCAGAGTCCACTTCAGATCCTCTATCCCCTCTCTCTCTGCCCCTCTCCCTGCTCACGTTCTGTCTCTCAAAACTAAATAAACATCAAAAAAAAAAAAAAGAATCAGGGCCAGGGGACAACAGGGTGGCTCAGTCGCTTCAGCGAACCACTCTTGGTTTGGGCTAAGTTCATGATCTTGCAGTTCATGAGTTTGAGACCCGCGTCAAGCTCCACACTGATAGTGCAGAATCTGTTGGGAATTCTCTCTGTCCCTCTCTCCCTCTGCCCCCTTCCTGGCTTATGCTCTCTTTGTCTCTCAAAATAAATAAATAAACTTAAAAAAAAAAAAAGAATTGGAAGCTTTACCGACAGAGCTGCCCAGGCACCCCTAAACGTTAGCTTTTATAGTCTGTCTAGCCCCAGACCCGAGCCTGGCAAGTAGTGTAATACTGATGCACGGGAAATGTTTTAGAATGAATGGGTGAATAATGGCAGACTGGTAAGCAATGGTTGGTTCTTTTTGTTTGTTTTTAAAGGAATTTATTTGAACTGAATGGACGCTTGAATGATAATGCTCATTTTTTCTTTTTTAATGTATTTTTTAAAACTTTATTTAAATCCAAGTTAGTTAATATGTAGTGTAGTATTGGTTTCAGGATAGAATTTAGTGACTCATCTCTTCCATATGACACCCAGTGCTCATCCCAACAAGTGTCCTCCTTAACGCCCGTCTCCCATTTGGTCCATCCCCCTAACCGCGACCCCTCCAGCAGCCCTCAGTGTATTCTCTGTGTTTGAGAGTCTCTTCTGGTTCGCCTCCCTCTCTGTTTTTATCTTCTTTTTCCTTCCCTTCCATTATGTTCATCCGTTGTGTTTCTTAAGTAGGAACGGTTGGTTCTTAAAGAAGAGAGCACGGGCCATGCAGGCATTAGAAGGAATTGGGGCATCAGTTAGGGCCCTAACAAGCAAGTCCAGCGTAAGTTCTCACAGATGCCTGGCGTGCTCCACTTGGACTGGTAATCACACTTGAGCTTCATAACTGTCTTCTTCAGTAAGTTCTACCCATCTATCCAAACATTCATTCCAAGAGGATGTTTTTAGCACTTGTTATGTGCTAAGCGCTATTCTAGGGACTGGGAATCGAGCAGGGAACAAGAAAACAAACGCTCTGCCCTAACGGAACTTATGTCATACTACACAGTATACACATGTTTTTATGTGGTGACCTGCGTCTGTGACTGACATAGACTTGGCATGGCCAGTCTCATCTACTTCATCTTCTTGTGCCTCTTCTCCATTATAATCGGAATCTCATTTGTGGAGTCAATATGGCTATGTATCCAGCCATGTATTTGAGTGTGACAACAGCACACACCTCTGTATGACGAGTAAGCCAAGCAGCAATGAGCCACCTGGTGCACAGACACAAACATTGCAGCGAGGCATGTCTGCCAGCCTGGCTCCCGAGAACCATTTCTTTTTCTTTTTTCTTTTTTTTGTAAGTGAACATAACTTTTTTTAATTTCTCTGGGGTATTTATTTTATAAAGTCACCAGATCAAGAAACTGTGTATCTGGGCTTCAGTAGAACAGATGGCAAAAAAGAGCAACTTCAGGATGCGGTGATTTATGCAGATTGGACGGTCACACAAGTAGGTGGATTTGTGGTCCAGCTACTATAAGCGACCCGTCGCAGTTAACATATGCTTATCAGCCCGAAGGGAGCATTCTACAAACAGTATAGTATAAGGATTACACATTAGGCCTCTGGAGCCCAACTATCAGGCTTTGACTTTTTGTTCAACCACTTACTGGCTGTGACTTGGGGCAAGTTATTTAGCTTTGCCTGAGGTTTCTTAGCTGAAATAAGGATGATAATGCGAGCTGTGGTGAGGATTTAGCAGCTTGATTTGTTGAATGCACCCAGTAACGAGGGGGCCTTGGGGGCTCAGTCGGTGAAGCATCTGACTGCAGCTCAGGTCATGATCTTGCAGTTCATAAGTTCGAGCCCCACGTCGGGCTCTGTGCTGACAGCTCAGAGCCTCTATGCTTCCCTCTCTCAAAAATAAACATTGGGGGAAAAAAAGAAACCAATAAAGTACCCAGTAAGGAAGTCCCATGTACCTCAATATTTTGATCAGGAATTTGCTAAAGTATGAAAAAGGTTACCAATCAAGTCAGTAAATTATGTGAAATGGGGAAGACTAAGATAATCTTTGGGAGACAGACGCTTGGCCAGCTGGAATACTGGGCCAGTCTAAGTGGAAAGGTAATGTGGTGGATTACTCAGGTTCCTGGCTGGGCACGGAAAAGCCACTCTACTTACAGGTCTCGAGAAGTCGTGTCCAGTGAGGGAGGCAGAGTTACCCAACCAGAAATGAGAATACTGTCCCAATAAATAAGTAGAACGCCAGATCCAGGGCACCCAAATGGATGACGGTGTCCACCACCCAGGGATACGTGTCGGGTTGAAAGTGATAACTGCGGAAATACAGGGTGACGACACGTGGTTTGGCCGCCTCACAAAGAAACAGACATACTAGGGAACCCGTGAGCGTTGCTTCAGACCGAGTCACAAGCGGCAGCGCCCCCGGCACACACGAAAGCAGATGAGCCGCCGTCACAGTAAGTGGTGAGCAGTTTTCTCTCTCCCTATTTGTGATTTTAACCTCAAGAAAACAGAGGAACAGATGCAGTCTTGCAGGGAAGGAGGGAAACACGTAGGGGAACGGCGTCCATTCACTGAGAAGAGGAAAGAAGCACAGATGGGGGGGGGGCGTGGGCGGAGGTGGCGGAAAGCGTGTGCATCCCCCCTTCAGGCTGTGAGTGCCGCAGGCGGAGGCGTGTTAGAGGGTTCAAAACCAGGCTGGAAGCAGTCGTGTTTTCTCCCTTTCCCTGGGTGGGTTCTAGAGGGAAGCTAAGCTTGTGGTTAGGCAGAGGGCTGGGTGGACATGTGCGGCAGGGCGGGGACCCTATGTGCGCCCTTGAAGGCTCATAGTCCCGACTGAGCATGTGTTCACTTGGTAGCATTTCTCGCTACATCGGATCACATATATTATTAAAATAAATTCTGCATGTTTCTTTTCAAATGTGGCTACCAGGAAGTGTGACATGACACACACGGTTGTGTTTGTGGTTTGAAGTATATTTCTATTTCTATTCTGCAGTGCTGCTCTATAGGAAATGGGAAGGTGAGCAGACCTGAGAGACTTAGTCATTCGAAGAGAATCTGAGTAACCCTAAAGACGCCCTTTCGGTCACTGGCTCCCACTTCATTTTCCCGCATACTCAATTCCATTCCCGATCTTTACTCCTCTTCGTCTCTGCACAGATCCTAAGCCATTCTGTGCTTTCTTGGTCCATTACTTGGAGTTTGAGGACAATGACTAAGGCATAAAGCAGATGTATAGTGTTTTAAGCTTGCAGGAGGAACACACGGTGCGTGTGGATGATGTGCTTTCTGACCTTGATCCAGGAAATGGGGTCCTTGGTGCTCCAGGCATTGACTGATCCGGAATAATGGAGTCTGGCCAGCTTTGGGGCCCACTGTCCTTTGGCCAAGAAAGGGGAGAGAGGTTAGATTCAGCTGGGTCGGTCCTAGACACTTAGGAATAAAATGACTCTTTTGAGAAAGGTTACAGCTAGCTGTGGAGAAGATAAAGGCATGAAGCATAGTGGTATTTTGTTTCCTAAACTTCATAATTTTCTTTATTGTTAGTACCTCTAATTAGGCTGACACTGGAATGTGTTACCAGCACTACAAAATAATATCACTATTTCTTTATTACACAATGTATGTTCCTGGTAGAAATGTTAGAAGATGAAAAATAAAAATAAGACATAGGAGCGCCTGGGTGGCTCAGTTGGTTAAGTGTCCAACTTCAGCTCAGGTTATGATCTCGTGAGTTCAAGTCCCATGTCAGGCTCTGTGCTGGCAGCTCAGAGCCTGGAGCTTCAGATTCTGTGCCTCCCTCTCTCTCTCTCTGCCCCTCCCCCACTCACGCTTTCTCTCTCTCTCTCTCTCTCTCAAAAATAAACATTTCAACATAAAATAAAGGGTTCACACTTAAAAAAAAAAAGAAGAAAGAGAGGCATTTATGGAGCAGAATTAACAGAAGCGTGGAGATGGATGGGTTATCTGAATCCCTCCAACAGAACGAAAACAGATCTAATCCGCCCAGTTCTTGGAGACACAACAATGGTATTTACCATACTGCCCTGAAGCTGTGATCTGGAAATCTCGAATGCGTCCAGAAGCCATCCCCAGTGGAATCTGACACTCTGAAATCAAAGCGGAGGGACACAACGGCTACACGTGTGGAAAGCGCAGCGTCACAGATGCAGGTCAAGGAAAACTGGTCATATTTTTACTGTTCACGCTGTGCCCAGAACTGCATGAAATAGTTTCTGGTACCTTCTGTCTCACTTACTTCACTCCAGTAGCCAGAACTACCCCTGCCCTGCAGCTGACGGACACAGCAGCTCTTACTTGTTTCCGGTTAAGTCTCAAACTCTTCCGGGTGAGATTTGTAGGTTACCTTTGGGAACCGAACCAAAATTAAGTTTCCGAATTTGTTCCTGGAGCTTCGCCAACTTGTGAAAATGAAGATTTTTTTAGCACCAGTTTGTTAAATATTTAGAGCTTCAGGTTCAAAACTATCAGAGCTTCCAGCATATCTGCCCTTCTCTGAGGAGCACATCACTGGGAGCCTGCCTGGAGGAAGGAGGGAAGCTGTATAGGAGGCTGAGGCAGGCCCCCTGGGGATTCAGCCAGTTGAGCGTCTGACTCCCGATTTTGATTCAGGTCATGATCCCAGGGTCGGGACACTGAGCTCCGCATTGGGCTCCACGCTGAGTGTGGACCTGCTTGAGATTCTGTCTCTCTCCAGCCCACCCCACCCCCGACGCATTCGTGCTCTCTCGCTCTCTAAAAAGAAGAGAAGCAGGCTGGGGGGTGCAGGGGCGCCTGGCCCGGCGCTACTCACTCGGGCTGTGCACCAGGAAGAGAGTGCTCATGCCAGCCTGCAGGTGCTCGCCGATCAGGCATTCCACCCGCCAGATCCCAACTCTGGATGGCAGCATTTCCACCGTCTCAAAAACACCTTATTGAAAAAGAAGGGAAGAGAAATGATCTATTTTATGAGCGGGATTTATTGAAATGAGCGGGAGATACATTGGTTTATGCAGAATAGCAAAGGAGATCTACCTAAGTCAATTCTCCCACCTTAAGCCCTCAAGCCCAGAGTGCTTGCTCTGTGAGGCCCACAGTTCGGAGCACTGGGGATTGAGTCGGGACAGCCCCCACCTTGGGGAAACCGGAGACACTGCGTGACGGCAGGCTTTGCTGGGGCCGACGGGAGAAGCCACTGCACCCTCGCGGTTTCCCAGAGACAAAAGTTTCTTTCCCACTGGCTACATGTGACACCCGGGAGAGGGGCGTCAGGGCGAGGTCCTCATGGGCCAGGTCCCCTAGGGCTGCCTTCAGGGCGAAAGTGATCCCAGCAGCGAGAAGCTAGAGGTGAATGCCGAGGGGCTGAGGAATGAGTCAGGAGCGCGCACCTAGGATAAAGGCGCCAGCTGTAAGTTTCCCCCTTCCATGCTGGGGTTCAAAGCAGCAGCCAGGGTGGGGGGCTGCGGGGGACACACAATAAACATAAGGCAGAGGAAGAAAGGACTCAACCGTGCCTCCCCTTCCCAGTGTAGGTATCTTGGAGTGGACATGGCAGCTTTGGACTCGAACTGTGTTTGTGATGTAAAGTGACTGCAGGACTGTTTATTACTCAAGAGGGAGCTGAGAGGCGCTCCGGTGGCTCAGTCAGTTAAGCATCCAACTCTTGATTTCAGGTCCAGTCACAATGTCACAGTTCATTAGATCGAGCCCCACATCGGGCTCTATGCTTGGGATTCTCTCTCCTTCTCTCTCTTCCCTTCCCCTGCCTGCACTCTCTCTTTCTCTCAGAAATAAATCAATTTGAAAAAAAAAAGTGGGAAGAAAAGTCATTGAACTTTTTGGAAGTTTTATGCAAAAATGGGAAGTTCATTCCCGCAATTAAACCTGATCAACATTGTGAGTACTGCTTAATCAATATACTGCTTATATACATAAACAAGTCACTGTGGATAACTACTAGTGCCGTGTGGGATCTCAGATGGGGAAAATAATCTCCTTTTCCCCACAAAGTCCTGCCACATTAATGATCCCTCTATTCTGTTCTATTTCCTTTAGGGTACCTAATCTGTATCTGAAATTATGCTCATTTGCTAACTTATTTAGTATGTCTCTATAGCATAAAGTGACCTGGAAAGGTAAGTTAGCTGAGATGGGGGGTGTGTGTGTGCTTTGTTTTTGGACTGCTTCCCCGTGCCTGGACCGAAGGCGCGGCAGGCAGAAGGGGAGCATGAAGGAGCGCGTACCTGGGTATAGGTTGTACACCGCCATCTTATATTCCTCTCTTTTCCGCACAGTGAACACCTGCCCGCTGAAGTGAATGGAGTGGATATTCTCGTTGCTCCCCATGCTGAGGACGTACCATCGCACCGTTTGATCCTGAGCCATGACCAAGCCGGGCAGCGTGTCCATCACATAGCCGTTGATGGCTGGGGGAGGACACGGAGAAGGCTGTTACAATCTCTTCTAGGGGCGCCTGGGGGGCTCAGTCGATTGAGCGTCTGACTTCGGCTCAGGTCATGATCTCGCCGTTTGTGGGTTTGGGCCCCGCGTCGGGCTCTGTGCTGACTGCCAGCTCAGAGCCTGGAGCCTGTTTCAGATTCTGTGACTCCCTCTCTCTCTGCCCCTCCCCTGCTCACGCTCTCTCTCTCTCTCTCTTTCAGAAATAAATAAAATGTTAAAAAAAATCTATTTTAGAAGATTATTTCTCTCTACTCCAGTAAAAAATATTGATTCCTGCAAGGGTTCCACTTCCGTACATACACTGTCAATTCACACACTGCAGAAGCGTCAGGCTCATTTGCTCTAGTGTCACACGGAGTCATACTTGGCTGTGGGATGTATTACCGTGGAAGCGGTACTTCTCTTTAAAAGCAGGATCCTCCTTCTGGATCCGGCAGGGAGCCCTGCAGTTCCTTTCCATGTTTTCCGTGAAGTACCAGCTCTTAGTCTCATCAAAAATCGTGAAAAACAGAGCAAACTCCTGCACCGTCACTTGTCTCCCGTGAGCGGGGCTCAGTGTGTTACTGCGGCAGATGAGAAGGGGTCCGATCAAGCCTGAGTGCATGTCTTTTTCCTGAGAGAGAAGACATCAGCCCTGTGACGTCAGTTCTGTCATCTAGAAAGCCCGCCGCCCCTCCAGCCCGCTCCGCATCCTCCCCCTGCGCGGCTCCGGGAGTGATGGTTCTCAGACACAAAAATGATGGCACCTCCCCTACGCAAAGCCTCCCATTAAGCTTAGCACAAACACCAACATTCTTGGCAGATAACATGAAATCCCTTCCTTTTAAACCAGTAAGTGGCCGGCACGTGCGCACTTGCTTACCAGATCAACGTCTGAAAAATACGCCCAAGCCTTGCAGTCAAACTCATCTTTAGTGGGTGCCATGTGATGCTGCACTTTCCAAAAGTAAACTTGGGTTTCATTAGGGCTGACAAACTTTTTTCTAGGCTCTGCTCCTTGCCTCTGATCTTCCTCATAAGAAATCAGGCTAGAATAGAAGGAGTACGGACGGGAGGCTTGGTTTTTGAAAGTTACCTGCAGAGAAAATAAGTAAATGCACATTTAAAAAAAGAATTCGAGCATCATGTTTTAGGATCTGATAAAGTCCTTAGCTAAGGGTTTACATCCCTCATAGTAATGCTCATTTTTGGATTTATCCAAGTTTTAATACCCAGAGGAAGTGGTACAGACAATGGAAGTTATTAGAACCCAAAAACTAAGGATCTGTAGAGGAAAGTGAGGAATTTTTGAATTCTAAAATCTTTAAAGCATGAATTCAAAGTTGCGAAAGAGACAATTCTTGAATACTTAAAAGCAATTCTGAAGTAAAAGGGAAAATATCACCCCAGGGGTTTTAAGAGACCGTAAGCCCGGGAGTTGATATGTATGGTTCTTGTGACAAATTCCAGGATGAATTCTTACGGTCCTTAAAAAAGACTTCAGATGTTTAAAAGGTAGACATGCTTCATAACACACATTGAATCTAAAATCAGAATTGAGACCAAAAAAAATTCACTTGCAATCTCATAATTTTAGATCCTTCTTTATCCTTAATGTAAACACTCAATTGGGCCAATGGATGACTATTTTTGGAAAAGAATAAAACTACTTTAATTTTTGGTTCACACAATGCATCAAAATAACTTCCAGTCTACAGGGATTACTGATGGATGAAAAGGTTAAATGTTAAGAAATTAAACTGTAAAATAAAGTTGAAGAAAGTGTAAGTGATTTTAAGAAAAAACCTTTGGGGGCGCCTGGGTGGCTCAGTCGGTTAAGTGTCCGACTTTGGCTCAGGTCATGATCTCACGGTTCGTGGGTTCGAGCCCCGTATCAGGTTCTGTGCTGACAGCTAGCTCAGAGTTTGGAGTGTGTTTCAGATTCTGTATCTCCCTCTCTCTCTGACCCTCCCCTCCTCATGCTGTCTCTCTCTCTCTCTCTCTCAGAAGTAAATAAAAACATTAAAAAAAATTTATAGGGAAAAATATTTATTTATTTATTTATTTATTTAAATGTCTGTTTTTTGAGAGGGAGAGAGACAGACGGAGTACAAGCAGGGGAGGGGCAGAGAGAGAGGGAGGGAGTCACAGAATCGGAAGCAGGCTCCAGGCTCTGAGCTGTCAGCACAGAGCCTGACGTGGGGCTCCAACTCACAAACCGTGAGATCAAGACATAAGCCAAGCTGGATGCTTAACCGACTGAGCCACCAAGGCGCCCCACGGGAAGGATTTTTATAAACATAAAAGCTATGTAAGTGTCACAGAAGAAAGATTTATGGGTTACTGCCTAAAAAGTGAAACCTGTTTTATTTCAAAAACCACTATATATAAAATTAAAAGACAACAAACTTGGAAAAATATATAACATATAAGGTAATATAAATTGGTAAGAAAAGCAATCCCTTTAAAAATGTTAAATGGACAAAGGGCATTAACAGATAATTCATTAGAGAAAGTCCTAAAATGGTCCTGTACATTGCATTTCTGGAATTTTGTCCTGGGAAGGGGTTGTGATTACAGCATTACTGAACTGTTAAAAAAATATCAAATTATTTAAACGGTTGTTCAAAGCATATGGCTCAGTAAACCATAAATTCACATAACAGACTATTTTGCCTTCATTAAAGTACTTAGAAAGTCCTTTTAATGACATGAGAAATATTTACCACATGATATTTAGTCAAAGAGGTAGAGTTATACATAGAAATATACACACCCCAAAATGGTAATTATGGGATTATTTTTCAACTTCTTTATTTTCTATACTCTAAAAATTTTCAAAAGTGAGAATACATTATTTTTAAATGTTTTTATTTACTTTTAAGAGACAGCATGAGAGAGGGAGGGACGGAGAGGGGGACAAAGGATTCGAATCAGGCTCTGTGCTGTCAGCAGCAAGCCCAATGTGGGGCTCAAACTCACGAACTATGAGATCATGACCTGAGCTGCAGTCGGCCGCTCAACTGACTGAGCCACCCAGGTGTCGAGAATATATTAGTTTGTAATTAAAAAAATTTTTTTTAAGTTTACGTGTTTATTTTGAGACAGGGACAGTTCAAGTGGGGGAGGGGCAGAGCAAAGGGGGGGAGAGAGAATCCCTAACAGTCTCCATGCTATCAGTGCAGAGCCCGATGTGGGGCTCAAATGCACAAAACTGTGAGATCATGACCTGAGCCGAAACCACGGGTCGGACGCTCAACCAACTGAGCCACCCAGCTGCCCCTACATTATTTTTTTTAAGTTTATTTATTTTGAGAGACAGAGAGAGAGCATGAGCAGGGGAAGGGCAGAGAGAGAGGGAGAAAAGGAGAATTCCAAGTGGGCTCTGCATTGTCAGCATGGAGCCTGATGCAGGCTTGAACTCACAAACTGTGAGACCATGACCTGAGCTGAAATCCAGAGTCAGACATTTAACCAACTAAGCTACCCAGGTGTACTGAGAATTCATTACATTTATAATCAGAAACAACACACACACACACACACACACACACAATTAATTTTCTTATAATTCCATTGTCCTCAACTCACCATGATATTGTCTTCAACTTCTGCTCTTATATATGGCCCTAAGAGTCCCAAGTGTTCATTCAGTTCTCCACGGTATAAGGGCTGAGTGAAGGATCCATCTGTAAATTCCTGGAAAACCACCTTCTTGAACTGAGGGACATCCCCACCTAGAGCCCTGGGGGGGGGGGAAGCAGAAGAAAAACAATGTCTTCATGGACTAGGTGGGCAGAAAAAGCTCACATTCTTGCCCTCCCTGTATTTGAGACACACTTGAGTAGAGCTGATGATGAACTGGAAGTATAATGGGGCAGAGAGAGGAGAACAAAGGATTAAAGATAATTTCCAGGCTTCCGATTTGGGAAAATGGACGGATGGTGATGCGATTCGCTGAGACGGAGAACCCTGGAGGATGAGATGGTTGGAGTATACAATTTTGAACACATGGACATCTGTGTAAATTCAATTGGGAAATACTTAGAGGCTGAGAGCTCATAAGAGATCTAGATGGACATTATCCATATTCAGATGGTATCCAAATTAGGGGAGCGGCTTATCAAAGCTGAAAGTCAATTTTGTTCTGTCTTCATCTTATTGGACGACTAAGCAACATTTTGCATAGTTAACCACTCCATCTTCCTGACATACTCTCCCTTCAGGCTTCACTAGTACGTAAGTTCTATGAAAGCAGGGCTTTTGTCTGTTTTGTCCACTGCTGTATTCCCAGCAGCTGGAACAAGTGTCCGGCCCATAGGAGGGGGTCAAAGAGTATTTGTTGAGGGGCGGTGGGTGGCTCAGTTGGTTAAGTGTCTGACTTCGGCTCAGATCATGATCTTACAGCTTGTGGGGTCAAGTCCCACATCAGGCTCTGTGCTGACACCTCAGAGCCTGGAGCCTGCTTCAGATTCTGTGTCACCTTCTCTCTCTGCTCCTCCCCTGCTCATGCTCGCTCTCAAAAATAAACATAAAATTTAAAAAAAAATATTTGTTGAATGTTAAGTAGGGCTTATAAACATATTTTAAATTTTTTAATGTTTATTCCTTTTTAGAGAGAGAGAGTCAACATGAAACGGGGAAGGAGAGAGAGGGAGAACAGAATCTAAAGCAGGTTCCGGGCTCGGAACTGTCAGGACAGAACCCGACGGGGGGCCTGAACCCACCAACCATGAGATCATGACCCAAGCTTAAGTTGGATGCTTAACCGACTGAGCAATCTAGGGGCCCCCCGCCCTTCCCAGACTTTTGATTGAGGAATTATAAAGTCTCTGTTCCCTCGGCCTATAAGACACTTCAGCAAATCCACCAAGAAAGAAAACAACTATGTGGTGGTCCTCTCGCACTTCAATTTTAGTTCATCCAATTCTTACTGTTCCTCAGTTCTCCAAAGATTTTTAAAATATAGATTTTTGGAATGCATCTAGCGTTTATAGTTGGTGCAGCAGGAGTGCTGGCGTGCCATGACCCCCTCTCTATCCAGAAGCAGAAGTCCCACTACCTTTCTTTTGCTTCAGGTTTGCATGGTGTGCTATTTCCCATCCTTTACTTTCAGCCTTTCATACTTCTTTTATTTTAATTTTTTAATGTTTATTTTTGACACAGAGAGAGACAGAGCATGAGCAGGGGAGGTGCAGAGAGAGGGAGACACAGAATCCGAAATCGGCTCTGAGCTGTCAGCGTAGAGCCCAATGCGGGGCTCGCACCTACGAACTGTGAGATCATGATCTGAGCCAAAGTCGGACACCCAACCGACTGAGCCACCCAGGCGCCCCTCAGCCTTTCATACTTCTATGCTTTAGCTCTGTAGCTTGGAAACAGCATCAAGCTGTATTTTGTTTTGTTAAGAAAAAGCCATAATTGGAGTCATTTGTCCACAAGCACAGCAAAACAAGAATCATAGTCTCAACGAATCCCAGGAATGTGATCTTTTAACAGTCGATCTGAAATTTCCACATCAGCATCAGTGAGGTCATATGTGTGATCACAATCCTGCTGCCACCATGTCTGTTAAAAAACCAGATTCAACCAAGTAAGTCGGTTTATGAGGTTGATGATGGCATCCTGAAACAGGAAAGTGGGGCACCCTGTGAACCCTTCAAGTTCACTGTCTTCTTGCTCCCCGGGGTTGCTGGTGAGCTCCTTGGTTGAGTTCTGAGCTTTCTGCTCTCAAGCTGTGTGTAACTGGCTTTCCAGTGCTGGGTTAACCAGCCAGACCCGAGTGACAGGAGGCTCTAACAAAGAGCCAGTCTTCAGCCTTTGGTTCAATCCCCAGTTCCATGCTGGAGGCCCTTCCCTGTTTCTAGTCTGCAGTCGTTATCGACTGGGCTTTGCTGGTTCAGTGCTTTCCTGAGTTCTATTCTGCCGTCTCTATCAGTGGAGTCTGCTGGTTTAGTCCACGCTGGGACTTGCTGGACGTGCACACAGGGACCACTATGGGCCAGTCTGAAGTAGCATCTAAACCAGTCTTTGGTTTTGTCCCTGGATTCCACGCTGGGAAGTCCTGAGGGTTTACTTTGCAATTCCCTATGTGTCTGCACTCATCGCCCAGACTCCATGCTGGGACCTGCTGGGGGCTGCTGCAGCTCTCTATTGGTAGGGAATCAGTCTGCGGCCTCCATTCCTTTAGGCCTGCTCGGTTACTCCTGCCCCTGCTCCCTAGTGTGTCGGTTACTGCTGGTGTCCACAGTTCCGGTCTTCCAGTTACCGTTGGTTTCTATTACTGTGCACACGAAGTAAAGGCTGTGGCACAAAGAGTATCTCAGAAGCCAAAGAGCTTAGGCATTAGCTTGGCTCTGAGGAATTCAAAGAGCTGGCGAAACACATGAGATCCTCTGTATCCAGAGAGCTGAATGTGCCGCCTTCTGGCACACACACTTGTTTCACAGATAAGAAGTATAGTGCCAGAAGCTGCAGATGGCTAGCAAGGGGGCAAAATTTTACTAAAAACAACCTGGAATTATAATGGCCATTATGGGGGAATGTTCCAAAGACCTCACATGTCCGTTAACTGATGAATGGATAAAGAAGATGTCACACACACACACACACACACACACACACACAATGGAGTATTACTTGGCAATCAAAAAGAATGGAAACTTGCCATTTGCAGCAACATGGATGGAACTAGAGGGTATTACGCTAAGTGAAATTAGTCAGCCAGAGAAATATAAGTATCACATGACTTCACGCATATGTGGAATTTCAGAAACACAACAGATGAAAATAGGGGAAGGGAACAAAGAAGAAGATAAAAACCGAGAAGGAAGCAAACCATAAGAGACTTAAATACAGACAACAAACTGAGGGTTGCTGGAGGAAGGTGGGGGGGTAATGGGCTAAATGGGTAATGGGCATTAAGGAGGGCACTTGTTGGGATGAGCACTGGGTGTTATATATAAGTGATGAATCACTAAGTTCTACTCCTGAAGCCAAAACTATACTGTATGTTAACTAACTCGAAATTAAATAAAGAAAACAAAACAAAAAAAATAGACAAGAGCATTTAAAAAGTGCATTTAAGGGGTGCCTGGGTGGGTCAATCCGTCAAGTGTCTGACTCCTGATTTTGGCTCAGGTTGTGAGATTGAGTGCTGTGTCCAGCACTGCATGGAGCCCTGAGTCAGGCTCCACCCTGAGCATGGAGCCTGCTTAAGATTCTTTCTGTCTCTCTCTTTCTCTCAAATTAAAAAAAAAAATGCACTTAAAAGCAAGGGCTCCCAAATCAAAGAAATAAAATGGGACTCGTACATTAATTGTATGTGAAAGCCTCCGAAAGTTTCAAAATTCCAAAATAGCTTCATCGAATTAATCACTACAGAATTGACAAAAGCTACAATGCAATTCTTTGAGGGGAATTGGAGACAACTGTCTTTGTCTTGCAGATATCTGCCAGGTAAAAGGTATGGTTCTTCAAGTTGAAAGTTTACCTGTCCTTTTTACCAATCCTCCAAACCTCTGCTGGTTTCTTTCAAAATGCTTGAAAAGATCTGGACCCTGGAAACCAAAGTCTCCTGTACTCAATCTGTGCTTTTGTGATGTAAACTTTCCATCTCCACCTTCTCTAGGACCTGGGGGCCATCCTTTGACAGGCCAACTTTAGGTAGAAATCTCATCAGAAGGAAAGAAAAAGCGAGAAAGGGAAGTATTTGGAAATTAAGCCGAAATGTCCTCTCTATTAATATTAGTAAAAAGAAAAGTTGTAAGATATTTGTGTTTGTGTGTCTATCTATCTATCTATCTATCTATCTATCTATCTATCTATCATCTATGTTGTAAATGTGTCATGCTTTTTGACATCTGGATGGTATTGCTAAAATTAATTGGTAAAAGAGCTCCATTTAGTTGGCTTGAAGGCAAGCACTTATAAGGACTGGGCATTCTGAAACTCTCAAAAAGATAGACACTAGCCCAAATGTTTTTCAAGTTCATATGCTCTGGGATAATCTGCAGTCAAGTTGTTTCCATTAAATAGTATTGCTTTTTTTGTGGCACCTGGGTGGCTCAGTCAGTTAGGCGTCTGACTTCGGCTTAGGTCATGGTCTCATGGTTTGTGGGTTTGAGCCCGCTTTGAACTCTGTGCTGACAGCCCGGAGCCTGGAGCCTGCTTTGTATTCTGAGTCTCCCTCTCTCTCTGCCCCTCCCCTGCTTGTGCTCTCTCTGTCTCTCAAAAATAAGTAAATTAAAAAAAATTTTAAGTATTTTTTTTTTTTTTAATTAATAAAATTGCGACACACACACAGAACACAATGGTCCACAAAACATTCTCCTCTTCCTTGGAGGGATTTAGGGTGCACTGTTCTCATTAAGCAGTTGTTTACCATTAAACTTAAATGGCCAATTGGGATAGTTCTGGGATTGTTCTTCCACCACTAAGACTGAGGTGGCAGGTACTAAGTAGGGATTATATTCACTTCACTTTTTTGGCAGACTTGGTGACCTTGTCTTTGCGACACCCACAGCAACTGTCTGGCTCATGTTGAGAAGAGCAAACCGGCCCAGAGGAGGGTAGCCAGAGAAGCTCGCTACACTTACGGGCTTGGCAGAGACTACAGCAACAATGGGAGCCTCACCAAGTTTCAAGAGTTTGAGGCCTTCTTCCAGCTTCTTTCCAGAACAGTGATCAATCTTCTTCAGGTCAGCAAACTTGCCAACAATGTAAGCTGTCTGACCATCTGGCTCG